ATAAATACATTTGACTAATATGTAATCATCACTGAACTAACCTTATGAAGAAACGCAGGCCCTGGAAAAATTAACAGAATAATAACCAGAAGTTAAATTCCCACCCAAGCATCATAGCAAACAAGTTATTTTACTACTTGGATCAATTCACAACATCAATAACTTGAGTCTCTTATTCAGATTAGAAGCTCAAAGATAGAAGCAATTTGAGCGATGGCTTCAATTAGTCTAATCTCAAGCGTATTTGCATGAAATGCCGTTCAGACTAAATAGTCAGGGTGACCTTGCTTAAAGTATTTTTAAACAGCCAGCCTTAAACATCTATTACCATGTTCTTTCTCCTTTTGATTCTATAAAAATTTAACATTTTGTAACCCTTCCTTTATATTATAAATAAAGGGAGTATATTTTCATATCTCTGTAAACACAATGCATAAATCTTTACTTTGGGGTACATAACCCTAAATATTTTTGGACTTCTGAAAAAAGACTAATGTGAAAATCACATTTCTAAATAGAAATATTAACATAGAATAGGAAAATTCTAATTTATATTAAGTGGAAAATCAGTAAGGCTATTACAAATATGTGGCTTAAGTAACCAAATACCTTTTTAAAGCTTGTTTGCTTTATGTCCATAAATCTGTCAAAAAAGCTAGGAATATAACAGGATTCAAGTCCTAGACATATTTTGTTATTAAAATTTGGTAAACTTTTCTTAACTATGCCTTTCCCTCATAATTTGTTACAAAAAATAAAAAAAAATGTACAACTTCATAACGAATTTTATATAGAAAAGGCTATGACATCCAACAGAAGGCTGATTTAAGTATGAAAAATTCTTCTTTCAATGAGAAAAGCTGCTTAATAGAAATAAATTAAGTATAAAAGTAACCAAGACTAGCTTTAGTCAATAAAATTGTTATCCCGGGTGTAGACAGTAATAATTTGAAGATTAGAATTGAAGATTTAACTCCTAGTCCTAACCTCACACCCTACACTATCCTTGAAAATGCAGAATCTTTATTGTTAATTTTACTTTCTACAATTGGCCACAGGTTTGATAGGATAAATGAGAAACCAAGGACAAAGGAATAAAGGTTTCTATTTCATTCCTCCAAGAGAGATAAACACTTACTGAGAAACTATTAAAAGCTGTTTTTGTTTGTTTTTAAAATATAACTACTGTGGAGTATGTATTATCCTCATTTTATAGATGAAACTTTCTTTAGGTAGAGCCAGAAATTAATTATACGTAGTTATAAAACTCATGCTTTAAAACATGGTTTTAAAAGTTAAAGTAATATTTAAATTTTTAGAATGCGAATAAACAACAAAATCAAACGTAATTAAATTGCTCAAAGGCAACAACTTGTGGACGAAAAGGGGTTCTATGGAAAGTAACCTCACAGGGTGATCTGATCATAAATTCCTAACTAGGCAGGTCATGGTGGGCAATCACACCCCAGGCATATAACTTCTTTAGTAACAGGTTCATATTTGCCTTTAGCAAGTGTTGCCCATTGTTTTTGTGCATCTAGGTTAACACACCTTTGAAATGCCTTTTTCAAAACCCTAAGGAGCATAAGAGAGCACACTATCCTATAATCTAATCCCTACCTTGCTCCTCTCACCTTCATGTAATCTTCCTTATCTTCTCTCAAGTTCAAATGCATAAAAGAAACTGCAAAACTGTCATTCTGCAGAGGATCTGAGACCTAGCTTTCTGGCAAATGTCATTTTGGCTCAAATAAATTCTGATAAAAATTCTTTACAGATTTGGACATTTCTTACGTCAAGACAAAGCTTATAGTTTATTACACATGTATGCATATATATCTATACACACATATCTTAACATAAAGATATATGAACATTTACAAATAGTCTGGTTTCCTGCTTTTCCCACTTAACATACCAGGAATCTTTCCATGTACTCACATATTTCAGTCTTTCTTAAAAGGCTGCATGCTCTTCTATTATATGACTATAATTGATTTACCAATCACCAATTGCTGTATATATATCGTTTCCAACCTTGTGCCACAGGAACAGTGTTATCTAAAGCTTAGTACCTAAATTTTAGTCCTTATTAACCTTAAGATAAATTCCTAGAAGTGAAATTGCCTGTTTTTTTACATACCAGTTTGTATTTGAATAATGAGGCCTCTTTTCTGAAAATGCAATATAAAGTTTAAGTATATTTTTGAAATATTAGGGGCCTGGGTCACTTCTTTAAGAATACGTTCAGCTCTAACATGTTCTGATTAACTGTGGGTATTATACAAATTACTTGGTAGTAGTTAATACTAGTCTTGTGGGTAAATGAAAACCCTGCCTAATTGAGCATAAACAGTGTTGTCTTTTCCTAGGGCTAATCATAAGCCTTTTTATTTGAAGTTTGAGAAGAGCATAGGCTACTCTAATACATTGTATCTTTTGGCTCTTCAAGATAAGTGAAATGAAATATAACTCTTAGAATAACAGTGTAGATAATGTAGCAAAGAGAATCATGTTCACTACTAAATCCTTGCCAAATGCTTAGCTACTTAGTGGAAAATTAGTTTTTAATAACATAATGAAACTGTAACCCAACCTACTCTATTGATTGAAAATATTACTCTCTTATGCAGCACTAGCTGGACCTTACATAAAAAGCCCTTTGCTATGTATCCTAGAATTATCTAGCCTTTTTTGAGATACCAAGAGCAAATAAACACCAGGTTCTTAGGGAATTATATAATGAAAAAAGTGCATTGAGTTGGGAAGAAAGATATTTCTCAGATTTAATGAATTTTATGAAGGACTGTATTGTAGCTCAATGTGCAAAAAACTGGGTTCTGAGAATTATGGCACCTCTTGTTCATGGTGATAATTAAGTTTTTCTCTAGGGTATTTTTGAAATGTTTAGATGAACACAAGCATAAACAAAACAGGCCTTACAGAGTCTTTGAATGACAGGAAGAAAATCAATTAGCTACAGAATGCTGAACACAATAAGACTATAAGATTTCAAGGTGATTTGCAGAGTCAAAGGAACCCATGAATTTTTTATATTTATGTTTCCTCTCAATTTATGGATTACAGAAGCATACAATTATAAATACTTATCAGGCTCATTACCGACATTATAAAAATTAAATAAATTACCTACTTTTTAAAGGTATAGGTCATATATTTTATTTATTTTTTTAAAAAACTATCTTGAATGTAAACTCAGGGAATGTTGAAAATATACAATGTTTTTTAATTTAAAAGACTTACTTATCTTTATGGGTAATATGTATTTAATATTTATTGGTGATCATTGACAGACTAAGGCAAGTGATTCCCCCCCCCCGCAAAAAATCTTACAATCTAAATGAGCAATTCTGAAATTAGGGGGTTTGAAAAGGACAATAATTTCCAAAGGGCCCTTTGGCTTGAAAAAAAATATTCACTATACTTAACATACCTACTACTTTTTTTAAACTACATAAAATCTCAAATTCTTGACTTGTGGAAATATACACATAAAAAAGTACATTCTCTATTAATTGTAAAACTGTAAGTACTACATTTTAATTTTGTCAATGGTGTAATAAATGATGCAATTTAGATTGCTATTCACGGTATATCATAATATTACCAAAATGTTCAATCTTCTCCCATTAAGTCAAAGAAAATAACCATTTGGCAAACATCAGAGTAATAACTGCATCAAGCAAGAATTATCAATGGATGCTAGAACTTGTGGGTGAAAGTCAAAACAGGTTATTTGCAGTTTCCCCACAAGTTACTTATTATTTCTAAAGGGAAAAATAGTAACGTTACATTGAAGACACTAGTTATTGCCTGCAAAGAGGTAAATATATTATGATGTTATGAACCAGGGTATTTCGATATACTTGTTTAAAACAAAAATTATAACATTGTCTTGGGGGTTAGTATATATAAGATATATGTGTCAACTATAGCATAAAGAATGAAGAGAGGATAAATAGATAAAATTGAAGGTTTCTACATTTTATATTAAGTGGTACAATATTAACTCCACAGAGACTGTGAAAGTTAAGGACTTATATGTCAAAATAGATACAAAAACAAGATTCAACTATAATTGTCTACAAGTTCATGTCATTTATATATAAAGACATAGGTTGGTTTTTATGTAAGGTCCAGAAATAAACTGATAGAAAAAGAGACCAACAAAAAGGCTGGAGTGGCTATAGTAATATGAGACAAGATTACCAAAGATAGAGACTTCTTTGTGATAAAAGGGCCAATTAATTAGTGAGAGATAACATCCAATAGGAAAGCTCCAACTGTTTCTGTAAATAAAATTTTTACTGGAAGAGCTATGACCCTGGACAAACATGCCCATTTATGTACGTACTGTCTATGGCTGCTTTCGTGCTACAACTGAGTAATTGTGATAGAGACCGTATGTCTCACAAAGACTAAATACTTATTACCTGGCCCTTTACTGACTTCTACAAAGAAGTTACAAACAGGACATGTGTTTGGTTCAGTAGTAGGTAAGCCAAGACAAAAGTTTTAAATATAATGAATAATTATATAAAAATAGAAAAAGAATCAAATTAAAATAAGGTTATGAATTTTAAAGAATATACCTTGATTAGAGGTACCTATAACATATGTGAATGAGCCTCAGGAAGAAGCTGAAATTCAAACATATTTTCATTTAACTAACAATCTTAACTCAAGACAGACTCATTATATCCTTAACATAACATATCTTTTAAAACATATAGTAAACAAAACTAAAAGGGCACTAATCTAATAAATTCCTCTCAAATCAAAGCATTAAATTTAATGAGTATTTTTTTGCCCTGACATTAAATAAACAGTTTAGTATAAACTCCAATTAGCCAAATTTTTTAAGAGAAGTCTATATTTTATATTTGTTCCAGTGACAAATGTAAATGTTAAAAAGAACTGTGTTAAAGTACACTTGAATATAAATTCTTCATAGAAAAACTTTTAGAGAATTAAAACGATTCTAATATAATGATGCATTTATTTAGTTTTGTTTTTTCCATTAGGAAATGGACATGTACACACACAAAAATCATTCGTAAAACTCTGACTACGGTGTGACTGAAACTTGCTTAAAATCAATTTCTTTAAAAGAAAAACACATACACATACAGATACTTTTAAAAAAAATCTGAGGTACACTTACCCAAAAAGCAAAAAACAAACAAACAAAACCAACACACTAAGGTTAAGAAAAATAGGAACAATATGAAAGACGCTACAGAAAGATTAAGAAAAACAGAAAAAGTGGAGAATGATGATTAGTACTCACTTTTAAAACTGAAGTACAGCTTTTCTTCTTCAAAGAGATTAGAAACAACAGGTTAAAACTGTTGCATTAACAAAAGGCTGCAAAAAAATACATGTAGTCTCTCTCTGTCTATGTAGGTCTTTAAGAAAAGGCATATTGTGTGGTTTAAAATGTGTACTTGGAAGACTAGATCTTCATTGTCCAGTAGGATGGCAATTAAAACTAAAATTAATTAAAATTAAATTTTTAAAAATTGAATTCTTCAGTTCCACTAGCCACATTTTAAGTCCTTAATAGCAACATGTAGTTAAAGGCTATACACTAAACAATGCAGACACAGAACATTTCCATCATCACAAAAAGTTCTGTTAGGCAGCACTGGGCCAGGCTCAGTGTCTTGAGTGTCTAAATTATAAAGATGCTTTGGTTTTCCCTAGAGCTTTTGGTTCACTATTTGTTTACAACACTTTTTGTTTTTTATTTTACAGAGCCTTTTGTTCTTTAGTTATATGTATCCATTTAAGCTTTTTCATATTAAATTGATAATTCCTTCAGTTTTGCAAAAGAAATAGAATGTACTTCTTATAGAATAAGCAGCAATTTAAAATGTGTTAGTTTGCACAATGCTCTTTTAAAAATCTGCATAACTGAACAAAATACATAGATATTTAAAACTATTATAGTTTGATATTAATGTAATTAATGAATTATGAAAAATATATTTATGTTTAATGTCTAAACATAAATTTGAATATACTACAGTTGAAAAAGCAGTTCACCTGAGTCAAATGGAGATAAAAACAGTGAAAACACCAAGTAAAATTATTTGAACAGTCTAACAGTAAAATCAAGTAAAATATTGATATAAAAACACTTCTTAAACACTACTTAGAACATTTGATTCAAATGAAGAGTACTAAAAAATTCTCTTGTATTAAAGAAATACATAAAAAATACTTAGCCTATGCTTTAAAATTAAATGGCCCAATTAAAAACGATTTAAATAAAAGACCATACATTAAATGAAATACATATCAGAATTAACAACAAATAAATTTCTGAATATGTAGAAAGGGTAGAATCCAAGTTATCCCTACAAAAATCATAAATTCATAATTGAAATGATATGGGTGGGCCAACATGCAATATTTTAAAAAGAGTAAAACTAAAGCTATTTCATAAATAATACAAGTTATTAGTTTTAACATGACAAACAATGTTGTCATTTAAGTTATGTTCTAATTTTTATACATTATTCATTTTATATTCATTGTATTTTTATCAAATTTAGAACTTATACCATATATTTTACTGCATTTTAAATACAGTAATAAAATTATTTTAAATTCACTGAGATTTTCTTTTGCTCTACCTTAGAGAAAATCTTCTCCAGCAGTATCATGCTTTCTCTTTTTACTAAATACATCTTTAATTTATTAATCTTTAAGACTGTTATATCAAAAAAGTTTGATTTTAAAATCTAAATAGTGACAAATGAGAATAAATTCAACAAGCAGAAGTGGAAAAAGGAACGAAAAAAAACCTTAGAAAAATCAATAATGGAGGTTAAGAATATTCTAATATAAGAACCAAAAAAAACTTTAAGCAATAAAAACCAAAAACAGGAATTAAAACTTTAAGACCAAATAAAAACATGTATCAGATCAGATTCTTTACTAAATAATTAGATAATAATTTGATATTCTTTTGGAGTCACAAATTACCTTCCCCACTTTTCCTCCCCCAGTAGATAAATACATAATGTCTATATACTGAGATTCACAGTTTCTGGATTTATTTTTCCACCACTTAAACTGTGGATCATTGCTATCATATGAGAGTGTTTATTCAACTCCTCTTGCTGAAGTTTCACCAGGGACTCCTTCTCTTCCAAACGACCTTCTAATTGGGCCTTTTGAACCTCTAGGGAGGAAGCCTAAGAAATTTGGGACAGGGGAGAGAAAAAAAACAACTTAGCATGTTTTCTCTTCACAGATATTTTAAGATATCCTTACTTTTTATTTGTAAGACAACCATTTCAAAAGACTGTATTACGAATATATTTTAGTTAACTAAATTATATGGTAAGTTTAAGATAAGTAATCAGTACAATATAAATTGGGAAGACATGTTCAATTTGTCTTTTTAATTCAATGCTAGTAGCTGAAATTTTGGAGATAATACTACATATTGACATTCAGAATTACTATTAAAATAACCACATTAAAGCAGAACCAGGAAATCTGTAAATGTGGGATGGAATTTTATGCCTCTTCCATCACTGACGCTTTGCAGTTGTTCAAATAGTCTTTTAATCCTGGTCTGTTCTCATCTTCTTGGTAGCAGATAGGCCAGAAAGCACTATTCATAGCTACCACTCTCAAGCAACCAAGATAATGTAGAAACAGCAATGACTTAGATTCAGAATACGTAAGTCTACTGTTTCACTTAGCTAAGTGACTGTCCTTGAGCAAGTCACTTAACCCAAGACTCAGTTTTGTTTGTGGGCTGAAAATAATTAAATATTTACATATTTGTTAAAGTGAGAAGGATTAAGAAAAATGGGGGAAAAAAAAGAAAAATGTTTTGTAGAGTCTTTTGCAAATTACGAAGTTCTAAATAAATGTGAACTACTATTATTATTACCATCCCATAAGCAGAGAGGGGCAGATATATACCTATATACAGCTACCTATATGTGACATCAAGAACTGGAACCCTTTTTTGTATTTGCCCACTTAAAAGCATTAAGTGCTGGCACACAGTATATATTTAATAAATGTTTGATGATTTTAGAAAATACAGGTTTTTACATTGTGAGAGTCATAACAAATAATAATCAAACCACTTTGAGATCCTAACATCTTCTAACAAAATTACTAAAGAAATAGACCATTAATTTATACTAATTCACTCTTTTCACAAAATAAACAACTTTTTTATTTTACTGCAAATGAAAACTCAACAGATGCTTACCTTAATGCTCAATTCTTTTCTTATCTGCTCTGTTCTGGTTAATTCTTTTCTAAGGATATCAATAGCTTCTTCCTTATCTTCCCTTTCTTTCTGTAAGACTTTAATCTTTTCCTCTTGTACTTTCGTTTTTTGTTGCAAGTCTTCAAATGAACAAACAAATAGTCAGCTATATGCTCAGAGGTCCTATACTAACTTACCCTGAAAAACTTTAGCTGTGTCATAAGAGCAAAAGAAAGACAACTAGGAAGATGAAGAAATATCTTGCTGGAAATAAGTTTTACAGTATTTCACGGAGGGGAAAAAAAAAAAGAACAACGACACATGAAACTCCTCCCCTATACCAGAATTCTATAGAAATAGCCAAATCTCCATGTCTTTCCTTCTTTCTCAGTTCTGAATATAATATATAGTAATGAGAAGGGCAATCTTCACAGCTTAAGGGTTAGAAGAGAAAAAGAGAGAGAAAACTATGAAAAATTATATAGGTAGATGGATAATATCTGTGCTTTAAGGAAAGTGATTTAGAACAAAACTTTTTGTGGTTCATTTCAGAGCTATCATTAAGAAGCTAGTAACTAAAAGTTAGCAGTGCCACCTGCTGTTATATTCCTTTAAAAAGTTTTATTTTAAAAAGGACAATCATTTCCTATAACTCCCAGTTAAACTAAACTGCTCTGTGAAATGTTATGGCAAGAAATGGAGAGCTGTTTAGGATGTGCTTTAAGGTTTTAAACTAATGAAGAACCGAATAAAAACCACTCATGCTTTGATTTTCTTCCAACACAAGATGTGTGAAAATAAAAAGCTACTTACTTGCTAGTTTACATTCTCTGTCTACTAGTTGGTTCTGTACTTCTTTTCTCTGTTCTTCTCGCTCTATTAATTGGGCAACAGTTCTGCAGTTATAAAAAAAAAAATAGAAAATATCAATGAATCATATCGTTTTTCTCAACAAGTATTTTAAAATTTCCAAGAACAGTAATTATCTTTAAATTCTACCGAATGTTTTCTATATAAAATAAGTAAAAGTTGTATTAATTTTATCTGTAAAAAATCAATTTTCTGTATAAAGGAAATCATATTGTTTTTGAAAATTCCAAAATAATTAGAATAAATAACTAGAGATTTACTTTTCATTTTGTTGCTTGAGTGCTTCATTCAACTTTTTCACTGTCTCAATTTGTTTATTCAGAGAATCACATGTGATCTGTAAATCTTTATTCTTCTTTTCAGTTGTTTCATTCCTGAAAAGAGAGAGGGTGAATTGATATTTTTTGGAGGAAAACATATAATGAAGAAAAGAAACTAAGTATTTTCTTCACCTTTTTTCCTAATCGAATTGCATATCCTGCAGATAAGAAAAGGATTATGAACAAGCAGGACATAAACAAAGCTAGATCAACTCTAAAAGAGAATAAAGACATGTTTTAGCTGACTGAGGTGATAAAAATTACTATGAAATGAAAATGTGTGGGGCATTAACCTCATATTTATGGATATAGAGCTTTATTTTACAGATTACACTGCATTACAAAATTTGCTATAAAATACACACAACTATCTTTATAGTTAGGTCCAGAAATTGAAAAGACTTCTGTAAAAGTCTGTCATCATTAATTAGCTGCTTAGGCATAATATATGTTTAATTAAAAATGTCAAGTTAATGAATAAAAATAGTTGAGGATTCTAAATTTCTCTTGTCATTTTAAAGCTCTGCATTTAATAGTCCTGCTTATTTACCTGCAAGGTAAATACAGACTTTCTAAAGTGATACTTTGATACCCAACTATCTTAAGTGTGAAAATGTTTTTTTTTGTTTTTTGTTTTTTTTTAAATAGAGCTAAGGCAGTGATTCCAGAGGAACTGCCTTGCACATCTTACTCCTCAAACCTTTGGAATGTTTGAATTGGGCAAAATTACGTTTAGACTGGGCCAAATCAACACTTGAAACACAGTTGTACTTCAAGCAACTGTTTGCAAAGCTAACAAGAAAGAAGACAGCTTGATGACTGAATTAAAAATTAAAGACATTCTTTAGAATTAATACCACCATGTATAGCAGTAACTTAGCTTATTTGCACCTACAGCAATTCTTTCCTTCTATTCAGTAATTATTTCCCTTCTCATTCTCATAAAATCCCCTTGCCTTACTCCCTAATTGGAACACTATGTGGCTTTCTGCCTAAATCAATGCTTCCCAAGTAGCTATTTATTCTTTGTGATCTCAAATAAATGCTTGTTGCCTTTCATTTTGGCCGTTTAGGTTAATGTAAGCATAATATGTCCTTTTCACTTCACTAAGTACTAAGATGAATAAAGTGGCAGCACCAAATTTAACCGGCAGAAATGTTTTATTTGTCCCACACAGTTTCTTAAAAATAAAATTTTTGGTTCCTTTAGATAGTCCCTAACACTATAGATGAGCTTTCCCCAGTCAGCTTCATTTACTTGCTACCTACCTGGCCCCTCGAGGCAGGAGTTTTACTTCCTGGCTCTTCAATCACTATCTGGAACATCAGCAGGTCCTAGAAATCCCATATTTCTCTTGGACCAGTTGCTTACTTTCTCTTACACCTTGACTTAACACTAATAGTTCACTTTATCAGGATTGCCTTGAACAATCAGACTTTGGAAAAAAACTGTTGTTGGAAAATATCCAGTTTAGAAATCACTGTGTCATCACACATTTTCTAGATGTTATACATTCTCCATCCTTCGATTTTGTTCATAGGCCAATCAGCACATAAATATTACAAAGTTAAATTTTTCTATATCTCTATATTAACAGCATATAACAGTAGAAATTTTTTCAACTTTTAACCAATCTTCAAATATAAATTTTAAAAAAGAACAATTTAACTAGAATGTTTTTACTGTCTGGTAGAAGATATGTTAATTGTTCCTGGTTTTCCTTATAATTCAGAGGTTTTAAAATTGGCCTAAAAGATAAAAAAAGTTTGACAAGGGAGGGAAAAAGAATCACTCGCATACTTGTGATAGTGGGAGTATAAATTAGTATAGCCTTTTTGGAGGGAAACGTGGCAATCGAAAATTTAAAATGCACATATCCTTTAACTGAGCAATGCACCTATAAAAATTTATTCTACATATATAGTCACACATATAAGTAAACTATATTCAATGGCACTAAGGAGAAATACTGACTACAAATTTAGAGATCAGTTAAATACTATTACCTAAATTTCCATGCTATTAGGCTGAATGATAGGAAAGTGTTAATTCAGCCATGTTTTACCTGTAGAAATGGCTAATTCATATGGTTAAACCAATATAAACTAAAATAACTAAGGTCATTCAACAATTATTTATGGATTGCCTAGATATGTACCAAGCACTGTTCTAGGCCCAAGAGATTTGCCAGTGAACTAAAACAAACAAAACTTGTCCTTGTGGTGCTAACATCCAGATGACTGTTGACTACGTGAACAAATGAAAGAAGTAGAGTCAACTGGAAAGAGATACAGAGACTTGTATTCTGTTTCTAACTTTGATACTGAGTTTGAGTGAGGAATACTTCATTTCACTATGATGTGTTTCTTGCTAACTACTTACCTTATGGTATTATCAGAATATATGTCTACTTACAAAAGACTTTTAGGCCATAGAAAAGAAGTGATGTGTATTCATTCTAGATTCTAACCTTACACAGAAACTTTTATTTTATTAATTTACCTCTGAAGAAGTTCCATGTAGGATTTTGTCAGTACTTCATGTTCTTCAGCCACAGACTCTAACTTCCTATTATGTTGAAAAAGATGCTCAATATCACTCTGGGCTCTTTCTGATTCAATCTGCTGTGACTTTAGCAACACACCAAGCTCTTCATTTTTTCTCTCAACTTCTCTCAACATACCAGCAAGTGTCCGTGCCTAAAAGAAAATGGAATAGACTTTTCAACTATTATTTATATAATATGCTCAGTTTCTACAACTTACAAGATTTATCAAATATGTAATAGGTTAGCATCTAACGGCTTATATGAAGATTTATTAGTCACATATACTTATTATTTAACTATTTCTAATAAAGCTGACACTCTCAAGTTTTTACTTAATAGATTTTTCTTAAAAAAAAAAAAATCTCAGTAAGACCCGAATCATGAAAATGAACACAATTATAATAACACAAAGGCAGTTCTCTACATACAGTACTCAATTAAAAGGATATGGTCCTTGGGTCTAGCCACCAACACTAAACCACAAAGTCTGCACTTATCGGTTTACCCATATCAAGTAAGAATTAAGAATAACATCTTAATTTAAGCAACACTTAAAAAATTAAGCTAGCACAATCAGTGAACCTAGATTCAATATTAAAGTATTTGTGACATGAAACAACAAAGAAGCAGGGTAGTAACTAGAATAATTTTGCCCCCCAAAATAATACTTATTTAAAAATGCCAGATGAAAACCTAAGACCTTCTGTTTTTATGAGAGTCTGTAAAGCAGTAATACCAAATATTTACTGTTATTTTTATAAAAAGCCTTTTCAGTAATATGGATAAAACATTAAATCTTCCAATAAAATGCGAGGCGTGTCCAATAGACATAGAAAATAAGAATGTGCTATAAAAAGAGAAAAAATGATATTAATATCGCTAGTTTTCTTTATTGGAATTTATGATAAATTCAACGTATCATCTACTTGTCACTGATTTTAATGCTTATTTCAAAAGTCAAACAACTTTATCATAACTCATTATAAATGAAATCATGTTTAGATTCCATTTGTATCTGCTGGGAATTTCATATTACCGAACAAAGTTCTCACCCATAATGTATATATATACATATATGTATATATGTACACACACACACACACACGCATACATGTGCACACATGTGTGTGTGCATGTATAGCATAGTGTCAAACTTTCTAAACACTTACCATATGCCAAGGATTGTGCCGGGGCCTGAAGATATAGAAACAGACTTTGACCTCAAAGATGGGGGTGGGGTCATACAATTTTGACATGGTGTGAGAAGTGTTATGTGAATGAAAAAGTAGTTCTTTAATATATCTGACAAGTCCAGTGACCAAAAGCAACCTCACAGATTATAAATTCTGTGATCAGATTATAAATTCCTAACTGGGCATGTCATCGTGGGTAGTCATACCCCAGGTATGTATCTTTTAGGTTTAAGTAAGCCCTGTCCACTGTTCTTGTGCATCTGGTTAATACACCTTTGAAATGGCAGAATAATCTTTTTCAGACCAATAAAGGAAACAAATAATCTTGTTAACTATCCTGTGCTTTGTTTTCTCTCACTTTCATGTAATCTTCCTTATATTAAAGAAAACTGCAAAATGGTCATTCTCCAGAGCATTTGAGATCTTGCTTCCTAGCATTGTTGTTTGGCTCAAATAAACTCTTTTAAAAATTCTTCTCAGGTTAGGATGTTTCTTACGTCAATAGTTATAAAAAGGGAAGCACAAGGAAGATATATAGAGGAAGGATCAACTAACATGTAAAAAAGAAGAGCAGAGAAAGCTTACTGGGAAATACAGGTATTTAAACTAAAATCTGAAGAATTATTAAGAGTTAGAGAGAAAAATGTGTTCCAGATATGGAACAGCAAGTGCAAGGGCAGGGAAACATAAGAGTATGTCAAGTTTCATAAACTGCAAAGTAATATAATATGGTTGACTGCACAGGAAACAAGGAAATGTAGAATGAGTAGTAGTCAGACTCCTTGTATGCCAAAGTAAGAAATTTAAATTATTTTTTGAGCCACTGAAGAATGTTTAGCACAGGAGTGATAAGATCAGATTATTACGTCAAGGATTACTGTGGGGGGGAAAAAAGGAAGGGAGAACTAAGTACAAAATAGGATGACTCTGGCAATATGTAGTGGATGGCTGAGAAGAGGGCACTAGACTACCAGTAGGAAGACAAAAAAGAAGCTCTGTTGTGATTCATATGAAAAATCAAAAGGATTTGATCTGGAGCAAATAGTGCAAAGAATAGTGAAAAGACTCCTAATAAACAAACAAAAGAAAAAGAAACTCAGATACAGAAACTAACTGATGGTTGCCAGATGGGAGGGGGTTTGGAGGGATGGGTAAAAAAGATAAAAGGGATTAAGAAATACAAATTGTCAGTTATGAAAATACTCACAGGGATGTGAAGTACAGCATAGGGAATATAGTCGATAATACTGTATTAACCATTACAGTATCAGATGGGTACTGGACTTATTGGGGTGATCATTTTTAAGGTATATAAATGTCTAATCACTATGTTGTACAGCCAAAACTAATATAATACTGTAGGTCAACAGTATTGGGAAAAAAAAATATACATTGGGGTGGAAAGAAAACCAGATGATGGCATAACCTAAATTACAAGGGAGAGGGTTTCAAGAAAAGGGAGTAGTTGTGTCAAATGCTGAGGAAAATTTACTTCAATCATAGCAACAGAGATATAACTAATATTTTGTACATGTTTTACTTCATTTATTTTTCTACTAATCAGATGTAATTTATATTATACACACCTCTGTCTCAGCTTGAGTTCTTTGACAGCGATATTGAGCAATCAGTCTATCGGCCTGTGCGAGGGCTAGAGCTTTTGCTTCCAAGAGATCTTGTAGTCTGCTTTCTTTGGACTATTAAATAAACATCATTAATCTTCATCATTTATCAGAAAACATCTATCAAAGCTTGGTTAAAATAAGCCTGTACTCACAGCTAATGTAGATAGTTTCATCTCATATACATCCATTATGTCGGATATTCTCACATCATTAATCTGATCCTTTACCTACGTTTTAACACAATAAAGTAAACAAATCAGAAAATTTTAACACTTGACAAAATAAGAAAATGCCTACTATAAAGCTAAATTAAAACTTAATAAGTTAGAAAGTAAAAAAAAGTCATATCAGGCAGTTCACAAACATTTCACTAACATGGCTGTTGTAGAAGAATATCTGAGTAAAATCTGGAATTTTTGTGGGAATTTAAAATATATTCCTTAATATATTTTAATACTGAAG